TTGGCACATATCATAGCCGGCCACGTAGCGGAGCAGCATGCCATGGCCGTCCGACGCCTGGACGTCCATATGGCACTTCAAACTAGCCAGGACGTCCGGCATGTACGCCCGCATGCCCTCCTTCCAGGCGGACTCGGGGTGGTGCAAGTGTGCAGTCTGGTCCCAGACGGTCGATGCTTTTTTTTTCTCCGGGACCACCCACTACCCGTTTATGAGATCTGGCTGCTCCGAGCAATCTGCTCCATGGGCGCGTTGTCCGAAGGGATGTGGCCGCGCACGATTTGCGACCACGGCATGGACTCTGGGTGCCTGAGCCACACGCGGAAGTGCACGTGAGGGCGGCCGCTTCCGTGGTAGTCAAGGCGCTCATTGCGAGCACCGCGTTTGCGTTTCCCGTCTTGGAACTCGATGCGGCCGAACAGGTTCAGCGCGGAGCCCTGGGCGGCGGATCTTGGGTCACTGAGCACGTGCTGCGTCCAGCCACCCCTGCCCTTCTTGTTCCAGCCCGTTGCCTGCGTCAAGATATGCGCGAGGTGGAAGGACTCTGGCCCGGGCAGGTGCAGTCGCGTCTTGAAGGTGCGCAGGAGCTCGTCCTCAAGGAAGGCATGGTAGGGGCTGGACCACTCGTACGGGGCAATGGTAACGAACAAGGTCGGATAGCCGAGCTGTTTCTGCAAATCTAGCAAAGCAAAGTGCCGTGTTCGCCAGTACTCCGGCGAAAAGGGCTTGCCAGCCAGCGCCGCCCTCATCTGCACCCCCGCGGCAGATCGGGCCCTCATTGAGCAGGTACAGCAGGCTGGGAGGCCTGGGAGCCGTCAGCCTGGGACCAGCCGGCCTCTTGGGGTTGTCCCTGGCGAGGCCGGAGGCGGCGTCCAAGGCGCCACGAAGTCGTCGTCCATGACGCGGATGTCCCAGTTGGGAAAATCCGCCTGGCTGCCTTGGGCATCCATAAGTCGAAAGACAGCCGAGGAGACGGTCTCGTTGGTGTCGCTGATCTGCGCCATGTCGACGGGGTCCGTCTCTTTCACAATGGCTTTGCCCTCGGGCGACACAGCTCCGATCCGATGAATGCTCAGGTGGACGATGCGAGTTCTTGGAAGGGGAAGCGGAGGGCTCATCTCGCTTCTTCTGCTTCTTCTTGTCCTTCTTGTGTGCGTCTTTCTTGATAGAGGTCGAGGACGAGCTCGAGGAGGATGACTTAGCGCGCTTCTTCTTGGAGGTCTTTNNGGGAGCTAGAGCTTGAGGCCTTGCGCTTCTTGTCGCCCTTGGCAGGGGCAGGGCTCGGACTGGAGCTAGCCTTCTGGATCGCTGGTCTTTTCTTGAAGAGTGTGGTAGCTGCGTTCCCGCGGTGCCGCTGGTTGTCCTCCTCGTGCTGCTCAGCAAGGAGGGCCGCCGCTGCTTTCTGCATCCTATCGGCGTCCTTGCCCTTTCTGCGCCACTCCTGCAGGTAGGTGGAATCGAGGCGCCCTCCAGGATGTTGGCGACCCACCACTCTGGGTCCGAGGTGCAGAGCAGCAGGGGCAGCAAGGCCGTGCCCATCAAACAAAGCCGACTGCTCGATCGTCAGCTTCGTCACCAATTCTTCCAGCGAGGAGCGGATGCCAGCTTGTGGACAAGGGTCGCCATGGCCGCGCGCAGCTCCTTTTGCGTGTGCTGCGCACTGCCATCATGGGTATTCAGCTGCGCGAGAGCTGCGTGCAACGTGTCATCCTTGAAAATGGTGGCCAGCTCCTCCAACTCCACGTCCGCCAGTGCGCCGAGGACGTCGAGGCCTGCCTGCACCAGGCCCCACAGCCTCGCTGACCCCCACGCCAGGACGGTGCAGGAGGTGGGTAGAATCCGGAGTGAGGAGCTTCTTGAGGTTCTTTGGGCCCAAGAAGACGTCATCCGAGAGGGAGCGCTTCACGTCCTTCACAAA